TTTTCATATTTATTTAGGCTAGAAAATAATGTTTTGTAATATTTTAATCTTTTATTTTTATATCCTATATCTATTCTTATTATATCCTTTATATATCCTTAATATTTAAATTTTTTCATATGTACTGTAAAGATATTTGCCTATTGCTCTCTTGTGCGTATTAAGCAGTGCGTAAGCGAGGCAACAACTCTGCGCCGGAGTTAAGACCGGGTTAGTTTTGGTCTAATGAAATATCTATTATAGTTTCTCAAAATAGCAACGCGCCAGCGGTCCACCTCAGAACGCCTTCCTTTTTAGACCAGAACGCCTATGGGCGCACACATTTGGGCGCATTTGCTATTTAAACAGCGTAGCGCAACGCCTCAAAACGACTCTTGCCACACCTTGCGCCACACTGCGCCGGGTTAATGATAGGGCCCTAGGACTGACGAACATTGGCTATTTCTCAATATGCTTTCTTGTCTGTACTTGTGCTCTTATGTCGTCGTGAAACATCATCAACCGTCGCCAAAGTACTGTTCCAATTCAGAGTTTACACCTTGCCAAGTACAGATAAAGTTCCCGGATGTGTACTTGCTCCGCCCCTTTTGTCAAGGATGCTTCGAGAGGTGACTAGTGTGAACTTACAAAGTAGCAATGAAAGCTAATGGCGAAGGAGAAAACCTGCACGTTTTAAAAATACCCCTCTGTTTTACAAATTAAAGTTTGAAGAGTATTTAGGCGAGAATGTAGTTGTTTTAAACTCGAATCGGCAGTTTATTTATAAAGATAGCACATTTTTGGTGATGTGCCTGTCAGCAGAAGCTTCGTCATCACCTCCACAGCCAAGAGCAGCTTTACATCGGCCAGTCTATCTCGGATGTACCACTGGATTGCATCTGTCCATTGTAGTTAAAACATGATAGTTAATACATTTAGTGCATATCTAACAAACCGTTTTTGACCTTATAAATGTATTATTTGTTATTAAATGTATTATTTTGTTATCTTTTATAATTGTCTTTAATTATGTTACAGTGTTGTACAAGGTATGTTTTTGTTTACCAAATTGCTTAACGTTATCTTTATTACTTATTGTGTACGTTTTGTACTATAATGTCCATTGTAGTCTATTTTTATAATCTGATTATAAAAGACATGAGTCTGTGTATAATAACCCATACATCACATTTATAATTATTCATGTTTTTATTTTCTTAAATCAAAAATGTAGATTTATAATGTAAATATAATATTAATTATAAGGCTGTGCTTTTTATAATTAAACCATTTTATTGTTAATGTACAGTGAAAATGATCAATCCATGGTGACGTATAAAGTACACTGCATGCTGTTCCATTTGAAGAAGTACTCGACTTTCGTTCTCGCGTACTCTGGAGTTTGTTCTTCCTAGTCTGAACTTGGCAAGCCTGAACTTCTAAGGACGCAAGTCCGAACCTTGCATACTTGGTATTGAGAAACAGCCATTTTCAAATCCTGTATTCTACAAAATTTTATAATGTTAATCAGCTTTCTACTTTTTTTTAGTTATACAAAGTTTAACTTTTAATTTTTTTAGTCAGTTTGTATGATGCAAGTTGAAATGACTATAAATGTTCCTTTGATTCAACAAAAATCCTAGACTAGACTTGTATATTTCAGAGTATCAGATAACCCTTTCCTGTTGAAGATGGTTACATTGCAGTAGTAGCCTTGTGTTTACATGTCAAATAATAAAACACAGTATCATTCATCCATTCATTCATCCATCCATCCATTCATTCGTTTGTTTGTTAGTTAGTTAGTTCGTTCGTTCCTTCATTCATTCATTCAATTGTTTATTCATTCATTAATTTTCCTTTGGCTTAGTCCCTTATTTATCAGGGGTTGCCCCAGTAGAATGAACGGCCAACTATTCTAGCATATGCTATCACGCAGTGGATGCCCTTCCAGCCGCAACACTGTCACATTCACACTCACTAATACACTGCAGCAAATTAAGTTCAACTAATTCACCTAAAGCGCATGTGTTTGGACTGTTGGGGAAACCGGACCACCTAAAGAAAACACATGCGAACACGGGGAGAACATGCAAACTCCACACAGAATGCCAACTGACTTGAACCAGCGAACTTCTTGCTGTGTGCTCTTTCGAAATCAGTTGAATTGTCTCACATTAGTGAACTTTTATGTAGGCAAAACTAAGTCCGTCATCAATAATGTAGGAGCATATGATGTACAGAACACGCATAAGCCACTTTCTAATCAAGCAGCTTTATGTCAGTCAACAAGGCACACTTTAACACAATCTCATGGTAATTAGTAACAGCTTGATGCTTTGGGAAATCAGTGGCTAATTCACATCTTGTTTGTACAGTATGTTTTCATACAATCTGTTCATGTAAGTAAAAAAAAACCCCAGAGATTTAGCTTTTTGTGCTGGTGTGTAAGCGCAACCCTTGATGTATGCATTATCCATAATTTCATTGTATTTCCCCTCACATCCTTGTGAAGACTCATAAGAGCTGTGTTTGCAGCTCTTATGTTAATGTTGGTGGATACTTTACACTTTTATTGTATTCCTGCTAAGTGTAAACAGTAAAGCATCTTTCACTGAAATACATCTTAACACCTTGCCGTGTTATCCTAAAATGTGCTTCTTTGCAACCGAAGAGTTTAGATCAGTAGTGTATGTCTGAAGAACAGAAAGCAAGAGCAATCAGAAGAAATGCATCAGCGGCTTTTTAATTTTTTTGCTTAGCAGCAACAAGCCACTGTTGGAGCAGAAGAGTCAACAACAGCACGTGTGTGATTTAGAATAGCCCACCACCTGATTCCACAGCCAGAAAACACACACGGCACACTGTGACGGCGACAGTTCACCAGTCAGATGATGCTTTTCCACTGGTGGGGATGGCAGGGGTTAGGGGGTTTACACAGTACCTCATACTTTTTCAGTATCTTCTAACTGGCTGATGTTTGAAATGATCTCTTCTGTTACTAAAGCATGACATGTAAATACTGCAGATAACTGATTGACCAGAGAGATTCATCAATCCCTGAGCCATTTAAGTCCGAGTGAAATCATAAATGTACAATTTTGCTAGTGAACATTGTTATTCTTTAGGTGAACAATCCATTCGTGTGAGTTAAACTACTTGCGTACAAGTCTAGCACAGGGATGTCAAAACTCGGTCCTGGAGGGCGGGTGTCCTGCAAAGTTTAGCTCAAAACCTATTCAGACACAGCTGGGCTAGCTCTTACTAGGCTTTCTAGAAACATCCTTGCAGATGTGTTGAGGTAAGATGGAGCTTAATTCTGCTCAACACCTGCCCTCCAGGACCAAGTTTGGACACATCTGGTCTAGCACCATTATATTTATCTGAGCATTTAATCCCATCCTCTCCTAGACGTGCTTTATGCTCGTCTGATACAGTTTTTTTTAACTGCTCAGTCAACGCGGCTAAAATCTATGGGAGACCAGGCATTCTCTTCATTAGCAACTAAATTGTGGAACTCTTTACCCTCTGATAATCACATTGCAGAATCCCTGAATACTGTATGTTTAAATCATCTTCAAAAACCTATATTTTTAGGGTAGATTTATCTGACTTTTATTTGACTTTTATATGATTTATAGATCTATTACTATTAATATTTTGTGTTTTTAATTATTTTTTATTATTACATTTACTGCTGCACATTTTATGTATGTAAAGTGCCTTGAGATGCTACTTTTAAATAAGTTTATTTTATAAAAATAAAGTTTATTATTATTATTATTATTATTATTATTGTTATTATTATTATAACAAAACAATTCTTTTGGTAATCTTCTAATCAAGTTCTGATCATTTGCTTCCTTGTTTGGAGTGGCGGTCCTTGTTTGTTGACGTCAGTTTGACTGCTTCAGCCACAATATTCTAAGCCACGCCCTTCTAACCGTTAGTTTGCTATGAGGCAATGATACGCAAAAAGAAAGCCCCACCCCCTACTCAAAATTCGGTTTTAGTTGGAAGTACATCAACATACTGAAATATATATTCAGTACAACAAACTTCCAGTTCACACTGATGTTACATTTGCTTCAAGACTCCAAACGAGTCATCAACAACACAGGATTGTTTAATAGACTGATGCTTGCTATTTAACACGACTGTTAAGTTTGAGTATTAATAAAAGGCTTCCTTTAAGTCAAATGTGAAATTCACCAACTTTAAACTGACATTCACAGACTAAAAGGCTGAATTTCCATTGTCTATAATAAATCTCCATGGTCTTTGATGAATAGAAATACAAGGCGCAGTTGGGCATTGTGTAATATACTGTAAAATTGTTTGACCTTGAATATAATATTTTATGAATTTATAGCAAAGAACAATGGCTAATTTACCTCAGATTTTAAAAATAAATGTTCAACGCAAAATAAATGTATACAACCCAGGTATGTAAATCTGTACCATACGAGGTAATTTTTGAGCCATGGTACAGCAACAAAGTTCTTTGATTATTCCGCCAGAAAGAGAATATAGTTTCTAGCTTTTTGGGCCTTTAAAAGAGCCTTAGTACACAACTACAGTGTCAAGCTTTAAACAGGAAAATTATTTAAAAAATCTTTTTAAGATGCTAATGGTCTAATCCTATTCAATGATTTATGCTAAGCTAAGCTAAAAGTGCTTCAGTCAGACTTGCTATTGGCTAAATAATTCAGTAATGGTAAAACTCAGCTGTTTAACTCTAGGGAATTTATTAAAAAGATGGAGTGTTCCTTTAAAATCCCCTTAAAGAAATATCATAATAACTAGTGGGCCGAGGAGTAGATCCAGCAAAATGAGGCGACCGAGAATGTCATACTAGTAGAGGCGCACACCTATAACGACATATTTATATTTAAATATTTATTCCCACCCACTCTGAAGTGATGGTAAACTGCAGTGGAAACGCAAACAGAGTCGTACCCCGCAGTGGAAAAGCACCAAGAAAGACAGAGAGAGACCCTGACGGAGGTTGTTGGTTTTACCTGCTGGGCCTGAGCGATCCTCTGCAGGACATGCGGCCCACTCTGGTGACGGGACCCAGAGAGTGGTAGAATCGAGTCCTGTAGAGTGTCAGTGGTCAGTCAGAGCCCTCACACACACACACACACACACAACACAGCACAGCCGCGGCCTTTCTGAGTCTCCTTCTGTGAGCTGAACATTCTGCCTAACACGCTGGTAATGCTACAGCCAATGATATACTTAGAAAGAAGAGAAGCCAAAAATGGATACACTGTTGATATATTTAGGATAATACTAATAGTGTACACTACCTTAATAAAGTCTTGTAGCCTATTTAAGTTTTAGGAACAACAAATAACTTGATTTCCAGTTGATCATTTAGTATCAGAAGTAGCTTATATGAAAGGCAAAGGCCTTTAGATTATGCTTATTTTACCAAAATAAAATATGATCATGCCTTGATATTTAATTTTTAATTAGGACAGTAAGGTCTGACTTTGCTTAGACAAAAGTCTTATCACTTAACAGAAATAATGTACAGTATAGAATATAAAGTCATAGTGCAGTGGAAAAAGAATTAATATTTTGTATGACTCCCATCAGCTTAGAAGACTGCATCCATACATCTCTGCAATGACTCAAATCACGTATTAATAAAGTCATCTGGAATGGCAAAGAAAGCGTTGTTGCAGGACTCCCAGAGTTCATCAAGATTCTTTGGATCCATCTTCAATCCTCCGCTATCTTACCCCAGACATGCTCAATAATGTTCATATCTGGTGACTGGGTTGGCCAATCCTGGAACACCTTGACCTTCTTCGCTTTCAGGTATTTCAGGATTTTTCCTTCACCAAACTTGACTGATTTCTGTGAGAATCTTGGGCCCATGCAGGTTCCAATCGGTCTTCTGCAGTATTGGTGATGATTTGGATGCAGTTCAACAGATGATTCATCAGAAAAATCTACCTTCTGACACTTTTCCAAATGATCAACTAGTAAAATAATAAAGTTATTATTATTTTTTGCCATTACAACTAGGATCAACGACAAGGCTTTTGTTAGGTAATGTAAATGGGTCAAAGATAAGACACCCAAATTTGGTGATAGGCTCAAAATTAAATTTTCAAAACTGATTTAATTGATAAAGAATGGGGGAAAATGGGTGAAACTTTATTTTAAGGTGCCTTTTTTACACATATTGTTACTTTACATAAACTTACTATAGTAATTACAATTAATTACGCATAATTACTCAAACCTAACTTTCATTATGAGCCTAACCATATAGTAAGTCCATAAAATTTATTAATATTACTCTTTAGTTAAATTAAAGTTTACATTGTAACAAAGACACCTTAAAATAAAGTGTAAACCCAAATGTCAAAATAAAACGTGAAAAAATGTTTTGTAATATAATATTGTAAAATATTACAAATATTATTTCATTATCATCCAGCATATCAAATAAAATGATGCAAAAGTTATGGCATTATGCAGAGATTGTTGTGTAAAAACACTTATTCTGTTGTAAAATTTTAATATACATACAGTTGAAGTCAGAATTACTATCACTGAATCACTGAATTATTTGCCCTCTGTTAATATTTTTTCCAATTTTCTGTTTAACAAAGAGAAGATATTTTAACACATTTCTAAACCTAATAGTTTTAGTAACTAATTTCTAATAACTGGTTTATTTTATCTTTGCCATGATGACAGTAAATATTATTTGACTAGATGTTTTCCAAGACACTTCTATACAGCTTAAAGTGACATTTAAAGGCTTAACTAGGTTAATTAGGTTAACTAGGCAGGTTAGGGTGATTAGGCAAGTTATTGAATAATGATGGTTTGTTCAGTAGACTATCGAGAGAAAAAAAGGAAACAGCTTAAAGGGGCTAAGTTTATTCTTTTATTTTTTTTTTACCTTAAAATGGTTTTTAAAATATAAAAAACTGCTTTTATTCTAGCCGAAATAAAACAAATAAGACTTTCTCCAGAAGTAAAATTATTATTAAGACATACTGTGAAAATATCCTTGCTCTGTTAAACATCATTTGGGAAATATTTAAAAAAGTAAAAAAAAAACCAAAGGGGGCTAATAATTCTTACTTCAACTGTACATAAAAGCAATCATAAGATACTATATTGATTTAATAAAAATTCTGATAAATGATTAAAACCTAGTGTTTTAAAAGATGTTTTTAATTTTAAAATATAAAAAATGTCAGTTTATTAGTATTTTGATTGATTGCAATTCATTGTGAATCTTTTAATTTGCCATTAAATGATTATGAATTTGCATGACAACACTATTATTGCAAAGCAGTCTTACACTGAATGGCATTTTAAGTGAATTGTCAGAAGTGATTAGCCAACAAACATATGATTAATACATACTGTACTTCATTATTCATAACTGACCATCATCCATTCATTTAGAACACAGAAGGAGACAAAAAAGGCATTTTCAACATGCATGTAGACTACAGCTGATGCATGTGTTTTTGTACACCTGATGCAGTAAGCAGCTGCTGTCACGCATAACTCTCTCACACGGAGTTTCTGCTGCAGGAGGTTAATCTCATTAGCCAGAGGCAGAGCATTTTTTGACGATCATTTGGGGTCAAAGAAAAAGCACAGGCAGCTCAAGAGCGCAGGAGACACTCTTTTATGCCAAAAAACACACGTTCAAGTGCAAACGTCTTTTCACATGCTTTTTAATTAGGGGAAAAGTCTTGAAGCAGTTTGTCTCACGTGAGATTGTCGATTCATTATTAATGATTAATGATAGAATTAACCAATTTTTATAAAGTGTGTAAGAGAAAATGCTTGTGTTAAGTTGATGATGATGATGATGATGATGATAAAGTAACAACATTCCAGCATGTTCAATGATAACATGCCTGTCTGCATTCACACATATGTTTATGTACACCACAGGTCAAAGCACTGGGATCAGTGTTTTTTTCCTCTCTTTCTCAAAGTCTGCATTTAGCTGATCAAGTGTACAATAGAATCTGAAGTATTAACTGATTTTAAAAGAGCTGTTTTTTTTTAACCAAATGCAATAAAAATATATATTTACTTCTCAGATGTAAAGCTAAATTGTCAGCATCATTACTCCAGTCTCTGGCATCATATAATCATTTAGAAATCATTATAATCTCCGGCTCAAGAAATATGTGTTGTCATTATTATTGTTGAAAACCACAGGGCTGCTTCATATTTTGTAGATAATGTACATATTCTTACTTTTAATAATAAGGACCACATTAATTGTTCAAAAGAGAAACAAATAAATAAAAAATTAAATAAAGAAATGTGAAAATAAATAAAATAAATAAACAAACAAATAAATAAATAAATAAATAAATAAAAACATTGGCTCAAAGGGTCAAACATCAAAAAATAAGGTCAATAATCTTGGTGTTATTCTAAAGTCAAATCTGAGTTTAGCAGTCTCGTCAAAGCAGTAGATAAATCAGCGTACTATCATCTCAAAAACATTGCAAGAATTAAATGCTTTGTTTCCAGTGAAGACTTAGAGAAACTTGTTCATGCTTATCACCAGCAGAGTGGATTACTGTAATGGGCTTCTCACTGTCCTTTCCAAAAACACAGTCAGACAGCTCATCCAGAATGCTGCAGCCAGGATTCTGACCAGAACCAGCAAATCACACCTGTCCTTAGGTTTTACACTGACCCCCAGTTACATTCAGAATAGATTTTAAAGTATTTTTACTTGTCTATAAATTACTAAATGGCCTAGGACCTCAATACCTTACAGATATGCTTGCTGAATACAAACCTAACAGATCATTAGGATCAAGTAAATTAGAAATAGCAAATAGTTTTAATATCTCATCTCTAATAACTGATTTATTTTATCTTTGCCATGAAGACAGTAAACAATATTTTACTAGATATTTTTAAGACACTTCTATACAGCTTAAAGTGAGATTTAAAGTCTTAACTAGGTGAATTAAGTAAACTAGGCAGGTTAGGTAATTAGGCAAGTTATTGTATAACAGTGGTTTGTTCTGTAGACTATCGAAAAAAAAATATAGCCTAAGGGTGATAATAATTTTGTCCCTAAAATGGTGTTTACAAAATTAAAAACTGCTTTTCTTCAAGCTGAAATAAATCAAATAATAAATGCAATGCTCTATAATAAATGGAACAACAGGGTGCATTGTACATTGTGTAATAATAAAATAATTTCAGCCATTTAACAAAAAAAAAAAAAAAGATAATTTACCTCACAAAAAAAATCTGTGTAAATCTGTAACAAAAGTAATCTCTGAGCCACGGTACACGCTTAAGTATTACACCAGATGGTTTCTAGCCATATGGGTCTGAAAAATAGCAGCTTTTTAATGTCCGTCAGTCTTAGTACATGTCGTAAATACACATGTGTAGAGCTTTAAATAGGAAAATTATTGAAACTTTTTTGAGATGCTAATGGTCTAATCTGATTCAATGATGATTTATGCTAAGCAAAGCTAAAAGTGCTCCGGCCAGACCCAGATATTGGCTAAATGATTCCATAATGGTAAAACTCAACTGTTTAACTCTAGGAAACTTGTTAAATGAATGGAGTGTAAATGATGCAAACAATACAGCTTTGATCACAGAAATAAATTCCATTTCAAACTGCATTTATTATGAAACGGTTATTTTAAATTGTTATATATCACGTAAATCCGAAACACCGACAATCAAATCCGACACAGTGAAACATAGAAAACCCTCTGCTTACTAGCTTTACAAAAGTGTTCCTGCAGACATCACAGTATAAATTGGCTTTAACTGATCCCAAATGTTTGACCGGACGTGTATGTAAATTTGTGGGTGACTGTGTTACAGAAGACTAACCTTTCAAAAGCAGGCCATGACATTTCCTCGCTGAGCTCCGATCCTTCGCTGCTCCCTGAATGAACAGATCATGGCACGTGTTGACTGAACTGACTGGTGCTCGTGATCCAGCAGTGTTGAGTGGGTGTTTATGTATGTTTTACCTAATGAGATCCCGCTGGACAGCGTTGAGCTCTCCGCATGTCCTCGTGTCGGTGTGTGGCTCTCCAGAACACTGTCGTCCAGCAGGTGTCGAGACCCGGCATTGGGGAACGTGGCGCTTTTAAACTCCACCGTGTTTGTTTTGTGGATAAAACTGCAGGATATTGAGAAATGGGAGACAGTTTGAGACACGAATGCAAACGTTTTCTTAATGAACAGAAGTGAATTTCACTCATTTGCTATGTTTCCACCCAACTTTTTATGTGTATTTTGTTTATGGAAATGTCAAATGCGCATCAATTTTGAAAATGTGCATGAAAAAACGTGTGCGCATAACTGAGTAGGATAAACTTCGATAAGAAAAAGTGTGCTTAAACTGCAATAGAAACACTTTTACTGAACAAATAACAATATGAGGATCAAAAAAGCTCATGTGACTTTGTTATAAGAGATCATGTGATGATAAAAACGTGTGAATGGTAAAACCAGCAGGCTGAGCACATTGTAAAACATCTGGAAGGTTGTTTTGGTCATACTAAAACACTGTAACCATTTCAGTATTAGTGTTATTATATACCTCCAGAATTGTCAAGTGTCTGTGCTCCATGTCTCACGCCTTTAAATGCCACAGCGCATACATTACGTGTCAGCATACTCTCTTCTGAGGTGCAAGCAATTAATTAAATAAAGAAAAGATTCACTCAGCTTCTGCTAACGTAGCAAATTCTGTCTTTATTGTTGATATTTGGCGCCAGTTAATCATGAAGTGACAATTTTGCTCTTTTTAACTAGTAGGATGTAAATGCTGCTTTAGTCGAATGTCTTTCATGCGATATTCAATTTTTGCGCACACATTTAATTTGCATCTTTTGATGAAAACATAGCTAAAGACATCCCTGTTGGGAAAAAAATAAGTCTGAATGGCTTCCACTATACCAATAGCATGCAAAACATTACAAACCATCAAATTTCAGCCATTAAATAAGTACATCTTAATTTTTCAAGTGTGTTTTGCGAACATATTCCTTTAGGAAGGTTTTTTTTTTTTTTTTTTAAACATTTCACTAATAGAAAGCCAACTTACGAGCTGAAACCCAAGTGACCAATATGGTTTCCATTAAAGCCAATAGTTTTCAAATTCTCTGATTGTTTCTGTTGTTATTTGCAGCAGGGTTTATTATACTGCTAAAGTGTGAGATAAACAATGAACATTTATTGTACTTTCCAATAATATGCTCCCTGACTATGTTTTCAATGTCTGAGGTTTACATCATTTCAACTAAAAATAAAAAGACAATAATATTGATTTTGACAAAAAATATGAAACATTACATTAACTAGGGGTGTAACGAATCACAGTTGATCTGTGATTCGTAAAAATCACCACCCACAGTTCGGAACACACGTCACCCGCAGATTAATACTTTTTTTTTTACTTGTAGATTAATTCTAAGTTTGTAACGATCACAGAGAGATCGCCTCTCGCATCATTCAAATCACATGTATGACAGCATTTAGACTTTCCTGTAAAACATAATGATGATGGAAGAAGTTGTGGTAGGTTATTCAAGATGAGGTGTTTTTTTTTAATATTATTAAAGGTGTTTTCTGTCACTATTTGTTTAGCCTGCATCAATGCATTCAGTGTGAGCTGCACGATTATTTAATAGATCAGGATCTCAACAACCACGCAACATAAAATATAAATGGTGGTGGTTTGCACGTTTATTAATCCTTCGAATTGCTGCATTCAAATCTGTGTTCAAAAAATGCAAAAATCTTTAGTCTTTTGAGTTATTTGTGAAATTAAAAACTGTCAAATAACACAGAAGTACTGGGATAACCGTTTATAATTTAGATAAAACCACTGATGTTTATGGTAAATATTAAAATCACCATCATATGCATTTAACTTGATGCTCAAAAATGAAAGTTTTAGGTAGCAAATACATTATTTAATCATAAGGTGGCGACAACCAGCCATCAAAAATATGTCACTGAATGATTCTGCAAATGACACATTTAGCAATGAAGCATGAAGTTTTATGAGTAAATGAATCACTTAATAATTTATTGAAAATGAAACTAAACATTTTACAAATTATGTTAGATTTATACATTAGCGTCATCAGTAGTAACAATGAATTTTTCACAGTATTGAATATTTTACTATTTTTTATTATTCAGCTGATAACTGCTGTATTTTATTTTTAATAAAATGACAGCTTCTAAGTTCTGTTTGTTAAAACCAAAAGTATCTTGCAGTACTGCTTTTGTAATAAATGGAAAGCGTTTTACATTTGTCTCCTCTATTTTTTGGCTGATCTGAAAAATTGTCCAATGCATGACTAAAAAACCATAATGTGATCCAAACTGTGAGATTTGTAATCCGTTACACTACAAAAATTTACTGTATAAACAAAACCATTGCAGTAAATGAACCTTTCATGGTAACACTCTACTATTAAGAATTAATCTGTTATCATTGGATAACGAATTGGCTAGCACACAACAACATTTATTAATCTTTACTTACATTAAAAAAAAAAAAAAAAAAACGTTCATTGCTCTAAATTGGAAATTTGTGTTTACATCTACATTTTTGTTAAATTGCAAACAAAATGCTATGGGGCAGTATGGCTTTAACAACTTTTGTTCCTTTTCTCACTAATGCTACATAAAAACTGTGATGGCAGTGCACTTTTCTTTAATGTTTGCTTCCGAAAACATTGGTTGGGCTTAGGCTGCGATTTGTATAATAATGACGTTTCCTATGTCACAAACTCATTAAAGTCCTTCAAAAACTCTGGTTGTTGAGGATAATAGTTCTAAAAATTTGATCGTCACTGAATATAATTTAAATTATTCATGTCCAATCCAAAACAAATGAAGTTTTGTTGTTCAATGTTACCAACAATGGCACTAACTCTGCATCTGCTCCACAAACAGAAGATTTTTTTAATATATAAAGAGTATTGTTAAAGGTCCCGTGAAGTGCTTTAAAATATACAAACGTTTGACAAAATCTTAAATGATACTCGAAGAGAGGGAGGGACGTAGTGTAGCTCCTCCCCTTTTTTCCAAAACAATAGTGTTTTGGTTTATCACAGCTCTGCCAGTGAGAGCGATTTAGCTTAATCACATCAAATAAAAAGCAAATGGCAAACATCTTGAAGGGGGCGGGGCTTGTCAGGCACCAGATAGCATTTGATTGGTTATGATTTGATGAGAAACTGTAGTATGAGTAATATGAATAAAACCATTTAGGCGGAAGCGACAAACTACAAGCTTTACATGTTTATATCAGTTGTATATATTCTAAAGACAAAATCGTATCACTGTTTTGGAGCACACTAGCTTATAGATATCTTAAAAAATAACAATACTGATACTAACATCTAAAAACCTTTATTTTAATTTAATGAAACCTTTAATTACTATTAAATTACCACTAGAAGTGAAGAGAAGTGAATAATGTATACTACTGAATGCAGGAAATGACGTAAACGCACTTATATCCGAGGCTGTGGCACTTCCTGTGTCCGTATGTGATGAGGTTTCGGGGTGAGGGTGGTGTTGGGGGGACTTTAGGCAAGGCTCCTTCAGCAACATTACCATGACGACCACATAATGGTGATGCAGATATGTCTGGACCTGTGTCAAACAAACAGCAAACACAAAAAACAACAGTGTGTGTGGCGTGTTCAGTATTTAACATACAGCTGTGACAATCTGTGAATGTGCCACTTTGTTATGGTATAGTGTGGCTAAACTCCGCCTCCAGAGAAAATCAGCAAAGCCTACTTATACACCACTGGCTGTTTAGCTCCGCCCACTAATTTAAGAATGTGATAGGTAAATAATGAAAGACTCAAATCCAACTACAAACCAAACAAGAAAATAATAAAAAATATAAGGCAAAAACAATCTATTTTTTGTGAAGTTTCCTGATATGTCATTGGTCATTCGTTCACTTTATTTTACTACAAATTTGCAGCAACTTGATGCATGATTTTCAGAAAGATTCCATATCGCACTCATCTCAGCCTCTCATTTCTCTTCGAGAGCTTACTCTGCTTCTACCTACCATGATAATAAGTAATGAATACTTTAGCTCATCCATCAAAATGATTTCTGCAGGAGTCCCGTAGGATGTAATAAAGACCACAACTCCTATGATTCCAAACTCATTCAGTGCATAATCAAAATGCGCCTTTGTTTGTTGTGAATATGCCCCCTCTAGTGGTGAAAATCGCATACTGTCTTAAAAAATACCAACAAGCCTGGTTAGTTTCAGTGTGTTTCTCACCTGTGAGGTCTTCTCTAGAGGCAGTGGTGCGAGGCGTGCTGGTAGCTGGTGGCTCAATCTTTAGGGACAACCTGACATGCACAAACAAAGTCTGTTACTAAAACACTGAGTATAGTATATAAATTTATACACAGTTACAGAGTTAGGGGTGTTTAATGGTTGATACAATTTTGGTACAGGTCATATCACTATGATTATAAACACTTTAAATAATTTCACAACTGCAGATATAGCTTAATATAAATAATACAAATGTAGGTTATGATTTCATATTTTATCCTCCTCATATTATTTTAAATAAGTAATATTTAGATTTTCATTACTGTTTTATCTTTTTTTAATTCACTTAAACAAAAAATTTCTACTTAAAAGTACAAGTGCTTTTTCTCACTTATAATTGTCGTCCTCCACAAACTTCTGTAGCTCCTCAATGTAGCGCACAGAGTTGAGATACTTCTGAACGTGCGGCAATACTGGGATTTCTGAGACAGAGAGACTTATGAGTTCACAGCACTACTTCGGTCAAATTCTCGAAGTAATCAAACGCACAGATGAAATACACACCATATTCACAGGATCTCTGCAGGTCTGAGATGATTCTCAGAATGTTGTTCATGAGGTTGGAGCGCTGTTCGTTTTCAAGGATGCTTCCAGTGGAGGGATACGCCGAATCAATGTACGTCAGATCAGACAAATAGATTCCTGCAAAAACACATACACAAGATTGTTACAAACATACAGTTTATACACAATAGCATTTTTTATACCAAATTATCCTGTATTCTTTAAGCTACAGCTGCTAAACTCGGGTCACACCTTCAGGTTAGTCTTGCTTTACACATGAATAACTGATCAGAACAAAATAACAAATACAAACCACGAACTTGGAAAAAAAAACAACAAATTAATTAAATTAACCAAGACAATGGTCAAAAACTCAAAAAAAAAAAAAAAAAAAAAAAACAGTAAAAAAGTAGCCAAGGACATGTAAAAATATGATAAAAAATGATAAAAATGATAAAAAAAGATGCTAACAGCATCTAACATTATACTAGCAATGTGTTACAACAAGACAGAGATCATATTGTCTCATATTTTGTGTCACAAAGCGGTGAAGCTTTTAATTTCAAAAAGTTACAACATTAATAATGGTGGGAATGTTTTAAAACATTATATAAATGTGGTAAAACACACTAGCAACATCCTTAAACATGATAGCAATCTGTTGAACGTACTATTTAAACTTCAAACTATACTTCAGCAGCATGCTAAAATGTTAACAACACATTAAAATGGTAATAATACCAATGTGATAAGCTACTATTTATTCAAACTTCTAACTACTTAAAACTTCAAAACAACGCAGTAAAACTTAATGATGTAACACATGCTAGCAACATACTAAAATGTTATAAAATGGTAATACTGTGTTAACGACAAACATGCTAGAAATGTGATGAACTACTATGTATTCAAATTTAAAACTTTAAAAAGACATTCTAAAAGTTGATGTAAAACATCTTAGCAACATGCTAAAATATTATCAACATATCAAAATGCTAATAATGCGTTAACAACAAACATGCTAGAAATTTGATGAGCTACTATTTAAACTTCTAACTACTTAAAACTTCAAAACATTGTGGTAAAACTCGACGTAAAACATGCTAGCAACATGCTAAGATGGTATCAACATATTAAAATGCTAATAATCTGTTAATGACAAACATGTTAATGTGAACTACTACTTGATCAAACTTCTAATTACCTAAAACTTCAAAACAATGTGGTAAAACTTGATGTAAAACATGCTAGCAACATGCTAAAATATTATCAACATATTAAAATGCTAATAATCTGTTAATGACAAACATGCTAGCAATGTGATAAACTACTACTTATTCACACTTCTTACAACTTAAATCTTTAAAAAAACCTGTGAAAACAATACTTTAAAACATGCTAGCAACATGCTAAAATGTTATCAACATTTTAAATTCTATTATCGTGTTAACGACAAACATGCAATATGTTGAACTACTACTTAACCAAACTTCTAACTACTTAAAACTTTAAAAGGACATGGTACAACTTGATGTAAAATATGCTAGCAACATACTAAAATGTTATAAACAAATGAAAATGCTAATAATCTGTTAATGACAAACATGCTAGCAATGTGATACACTACTACTTATTCAAACTTCTTACTACTTAAGTCTTAAAAAAATTTATGAAAACAATACTGTAAAACATGCTAGCAACATGTTAAAATGTTATCAACATTTTAAATTCTAATATCGTATTAACGACAAACATGCTAGCAATGTGCTTAAACTACTGCTAATCCAAACGTCAGCTACAAAAGGAATACCTACACTTCTAGCTTTGTTGGAGCATTTGCTCATCTGCATCTATTAGACCACTATTATTTTGTATGCCAAGTAAAATATTATGTCTAAGTAAAATTTTAAAGAAGTTTATCAGTACTTTGTACACATCAGAAGTTTTCCAGACCAAATGGTCTTTAAAATACATCTTGCAGAAGTACATGTGCTACCTAGGAATAGACTTCAAGCTTTTAAAACTTCTTTAAACCACAAGTAGTTTCTTTAAAGCCTTTATTTTCTTATTTCCTATCAGAAAAAAAATGTTTTATTTTCACTCTGTTGTTTGTCTGGAGTTGAGAAGTGGACAGACAAGTTTTCTCTGGCCCATCTACAGAGTGCTTATTTCATACTAAGTAAATATTTGGATTAGTGAGGAACATTATGTGGAGGAAGTATCTGAATTAGGAAGAAAGATGTGCAGCTTCTGGAGAAACATTTGAAACATCTTTTGAGATAGAAGGATATTGATCATATAAAAATGTGATTTTTGTGAGCACTACAGTAGCCTGCATTTGAAATGGATCAAACCTTCAGTCTAAGGTGTCCTAACACTACTGAAACCCCACTATTCTTGTCTTTTTTTTTTCTTGGCAATTTTTTAAAAACTATTTTGAACCAATTCAAATGTTGACTACTGTATAGGCTTGGAGACTGCAAACAAGCATCCGTCCATTACAGATATTACATCAGAGCAGAACATCTGGGCTAATCATCAAAAATAAAACACAAGCCACCGATTGCGATGACAAATGAAAGCTTGAGAAAATAATTAGGAGGCAAACCAATCCCAAAATCCAGACTGATTTAAAACAGACCTAAAAGGAGAACAGCACTGTACGCACAGTTTAATTTATCATTACGCTCACAAAATCAGGGCTAAAGTAAGAATTGCATCCATATGGCAGACAGACTGAAGCATACACACTTTACAGTATTTTTAAATAAATACAGTTAAGGACAAAACTATTAGAGCTCCTATGAATTTTTATTTATTTATTTCTATTTAGATGAATTAAATTTTTTTAAAGAAATAAAGAAAACTGCTAATGTCAATAAGTTCTTAAGAATTTGTTGTAAAGAAGGCTACAACACGGCTGTTAAAAACTTGCATAATTAACCTTACTTGCCTAGTTTAAATCACATATTAAGCTGAATATTAGTATCTTGCAAAATACTTAGTCAAATATGATGTACTGTCATCATTTTAGGGTTGTCAAAATGATTTTTTTCTTCGGTGCACCGAGATGCAGATGCAGACAATTCGGTATCAGTTCAGTAATAATCATAACCGGTTATTATGTTGTGACGTCATTTATCTTATATGCGCTGTCGCTGTAGCTTACCATGGCGAGGGAGGCGAGTGCTAGCATTTACAACGATCCAACTACTTAAAAAAGCAGAAACGGTGCACAATGTGTGTCATATGTGAAGAGCGCCAGCGCGCAAGAGCCAATCACGGCACTTTCTGTTGAGCATGTGATCAATCAAAGGGGTGTAGGAGAACTTGGCAACAAGGATGAGAAAGCGAGCGCGATATTTATATTTGTTTACATTAATTGCTTCAAATGCTCGTGTTGTTTAAAGGTACAGTTTATATGTCTGACTGTTTGTATTAAAGAACAAAATTGTATTACAAATTGTATATAAATATATACATTTTAAATACAAGAATTGCTGCGGTGAAGAAAATATAAAACTGTGTATGGAAAGCATCGTCAATGCACCGTGATGCGCCGAGATATCGAATTGAACCGAATCGATGGCATGGTAATTGTAACCAAACCAAACTATAAGGCCAGTGTAGGTTCACGTCTCTACATCATTTTAAAGACAATATAACATTAGTTTGTAAAGCTTTTAAGTTAAAAATGTAGTAAAATAAATAAATGAAAATAATAATAATAATAATTTTACAGTAGAGCTAATAATATTGCCTCTATTCAACAACTGGCAAGACCTCGGGTCAAATACTAGATTCTTCATTTCATAATGTGTTTCTGGTGAGTCCGCAAGTTTTTTTTTATTTTGTTAATTTTTTTTTGTTTGTTTGCTTGCTTTTTTATTTTAACTGATTTTGGCTCAGAAGGTACAGTTGCAATGGGTACTAATGTTCCTCGTGGGAGTGATGACCAAGGTTGTTGCTGTTGCTCTTTAAGTTGACGTCTTTTTTGATGGATTCTGCGATTCGTTTTTCCTCGAACTTTGCTGTACCTTCACTGACGATGGTTCTCCACAGTGGTCGGTTCTTCACTGTCATCTTCCAGTTGCATTTCATTAGATTTGCAATTTTGCATTTCATTAGATTTGCACTAAGGACATCTTTGAAATGTTTCTTTGGAGCACCTATAATATGTTTGCCCTCTTTCAGTTTACAGTAGAACATCTGCTTAGGGAGACCACCATCAGACATTCCACTAGGTAATCCCTCCACCTTAACTGTTTTTTGATATAGGGAATGTAATGTAATGTAATTTGTATTTATATAGCGCATTTACCGTGTATGGCCATACACCCAAAGAGCTTCAGAAGGGGGGCGGGGGGTCTCTCCACACCACCATCAGTATGCAGCATCCACTTGGATGATGCGACGGCTGCCACAGGACTTTTTACCAGCTATAGGTGGAATGGAGAGATAGTGATAGAGCCAATTTGGTGGATGGGGATGATTGGGAGGCCATAATGGATATTAGGCCAGAACACTAGGGTTACACCCCTACTCTTCTATGAGAAGTACCATAGGATTTTAAATGACCAAAATAAGTCAGGACCTTGGTTTAATGTCTCACTGACAGTATAGGGTCCCTTTCACTGTAATGGGGCATTAGGACTCACACAGACCACAGGTTGAGCGCCCCCTTCTGGCCTCACTAACACCACTCCCAACAGCAATCTAGTCTTCCCATGTGGTCTCCTATCCAGGTACTGACCAGGCTCAGCCCTGTATAGCGGTTTTGGGCTGCAGGGTGGCATGGCCGTGGTTCAGACCAACAGTCTTCAATGTGGGCAGTCTTGCCTCTTGTAGTATGCAGATGTTTGTTCTTCTCTCTTCCCATCGAATACTAAGTATCTTTCGAAGACAGCACTGATGGAACTTTGAGCATTTTCAGATGTGCAGTCCAGAACTCAGCTGAATAGAGAAGAGTAAGGATGACTACAGATCTGTATACAATAAGTTTTGTCTCCTTCTGAATGTCTCGATCTTTAAAGACTCTATTGCAAAGTTTACTACATGCTGAACCGGCACTCTTCAGACGGTGTTGTTTCTCAGTGTGGAGATCGACATTTGCAGACAAGTAGCTTCCAAGATAACAGAAGTAGATCACGTTTTCCAATCGAGTACTGTTGAGTTGAATTGATGGAAGACTGACTCCATGGGTGGTTGGAGGAGCTCGATAGAGCACCCGTGTCTTTTTAATGTTGATGCTAAGTCCGAGTCTGTTATATGCCTGATGGAAGGCATCCAGGATCTGCTGTAGGTGTTCTTCTGTTTGTGCAGCAACACTGTTGTCTTCAGCATTTTGAAATTGATATTGTCTCTATTATACTTCATGCATTTACCGGTATCTGTTATGCTGAATGACAATGGAGCATTGTTTTACCAATATTCTGACACATTTTTATTTCTTTTGGAAAGATGTGTATATTGATATATAACAGGTAAATATAATGTATATATTTGAATAGTCTATCTATGTATATGTACAACTGTTTTTTGTACATTTAATTTGACAGACACCAAAATGGTGTGTCTCATCTTTCATCAATGCAATGTATAAAATAAACAAAAGCGAGAGAGGAAGAGAGATGGCTCCTTTGTGAATGTCAGACAAAGCTCAGGCACAAGCTAAATATTATTGTGGGAAAGCAGAACGGGAGAAAATCTGTACCGACCAGGAGGCGTCTGTCCATTTCCTTAACACCTCATTAAGTAGGGTGAAGTCCAGCCATTCAGGCATCACACTTCCATTTAAACACCTCTGCAGATCACACAATTCATAACAAAGAAAATAAAACAGATGCCAAACGTGTGCTCAAACCACTACTGCTGCTGATCAGAGCTCAAACAAACAACCTGGGAGAAAAACAACCAGAACTAAACTGAAGGGAAAACGTTTCTTTTAGTACAAAACGGTTCACGAAAAAAATAAGCTACTGTTCCTTTTAAGATATCCTGTCTACAACATCGGTAACAACTAACAAAATTGGTGTTTAAGAGTGTAATTAACAGCTGTCTTGTTTGGCTCGACTGAACTGAACTTTAGTTCCTTTGCCCCTTAGGTACAGATCTTTTGGGCAGTTGTGAATCCAGCAATCATGCTCTAGTGCACACCACACAAATAGACCCAACTGAAAAGGTGGTCTTAGTCCCCTTCCAAACGAACTCAGGTCTGGTTTAAGCTGTGAATATAATGACAAATTTGCAGAAACCCCTGTGCCATTCGAGTTATCAGAATTCCGTAGATTGAGTTGCGCAATCATGGCATCTAAAGCAGTGGGTCAGTTTGCAAACTCTCTTGCATATCTGAATAAAACACAAAGCTCTCAGTCAGTCGGCAGGAATTCACTTTTAAGTTTGGTGTATAGTTGACATCTCCACACGAGCGTCCGCTCATGAAGGGGTTTATGGAAGGTCAAATGAATTGATATTAATTGTGCCATCAAGACACGGAGTGCATAACTCATTTGCTTCAATAGGTTTTAATGTATCTGTGCCAAACTTATTCTACATCAAAGTTCATTTAGTTTTATCAAGCCTTAGTCATTGGGAATTATCTTATTTTATTAAAAATAGGTAAAAAATCTGCGAAAGTGAATGAAAAACTTGACTGTTCAAAGCGATAACATATACACATGTCTTAGGGTTACACATGACTTTTTAAAATGTAATCCAGAGTAGTAACTTGTTACATAGATTAAGTCTATTATTTTAAATTCAAACACACAAAATAGCCCTTATGGTCCATCAAGACAGTTAATCCAAACACAAACATTTATTTACTTTAGTCTTAATGATTTCAAAAAGACCAATTTGACCCTTATTAAATGGAAATCTTCCTTTTACAAAGTCAGTCAACATGAGGGTTAATGCACTACAAAATGCCATTAGTTGACTAAAAGTGCATAAACTCATGCATAATTAAAATTGTGCAAAATTAGCATAATTAAGTTAAGCAAAAGTAACTGTTCAAATTACAAGTTTACTCACTTAATGTAAAGTCAACTTTAGGGCAATAATTTCACTAGAGTTTTTAAGTGCCTATTAGCTTTTTGTAGTGTGCCGAGCTTCCTCGACCAGACAACAGCCAAACACACAAAGATTCGTGATTGCGCCCACACAGGACTGCAACTATTAATGTACACCAGAAAACAAGGGAAGAACATCTGATGTCACAGGGCAGATTGTTCAAACACACGCTCCACTCCTAATCCAAATGACCCTCGGTTTCCTCCTCCCATATTTAACAAACATCTGAGGAGACATGCGTGGGAAGATCATTATCTGTTGGACTTGAGCTGTCCTCTCAAGGCTGCTGAAAGCATGTGCGTTTAGCGAGACCACAGACCGCAGGAAGAAACAGTGAAGTCCCTTGCTGCTCTAAGCAAAAGCAGTCGTCTTCATCTGCAAACAGACCGCAAGCCCATTCTCCCTGAGTTCAGAGAGATCCCTCTCTCCTGCTTGCTGCCCCCTCCCTCCTACTTCTCCCCTGAAGAATGAGAGATTTGATGGGAGGTGAAATTTTAGAAGGGGTCGAGTTATTTTGTCTCTATTTCAGCACCCGTTACATCACATGAGGGTTAGGCCCTTCCCTCCAAAAAGAAGGAGAAAAGGAAGAGAGTGAAAGAGAGAGAGAAAATAAAGTCAGGTCCCAATCCCCTCCATCAACCCCTCCCTCCCCCATCCTCGGTGAAAAACTGGAGCTGCTGTCCGAGAGTTTCTCAGTCTCTGTAAAGCTGCTGAAGTGGCTCCAGAGCCATGCTACTGTCCCAGATCCTGTAAACCCTAGGACAGGAGCTCGCTACTGGGCTGAGCAGGGTCCCGGACACTAAGGAAACAAAACCCACGGGAGCTTTAAAGAGGAGGAGAAGGCCTAATATCCTGGGATACATGAGATGTGTGCAGCTTTAAGGACTTTCAGAGAGCCACTGGGAGAATAAGGAATCACGGAAGACATCAAGAATCAGAGGACCTTACGAGGATCTCAAAAAAGAGAATCAAAGGTCAGGAAATGTCTGGGGTGATAGTTGCAAGCTCTTGTTGCACTTTTTATTCAAATACTTTGAAGCAACAATCTGGAAGTTCTCCTTTATCTCCATTTGACACAGATCTTTACCTGTATGTTTGCTGCCCTTTTTCTGTTCCTCTGAGCAAATTTTTCCATCTGCTGGCCTGTGAGCTCAGCCAGGGTACGGGTGGCCCAAAAGGTCCAGTCAAAGGCTGCATTTACACTACAGACTTTGATGGTCAGGTTTTGTGACTCTATCTGATTCTTTTTGCCGAACCACTAAAATCTTTAAAACGTAAATTGTATCTGATATCTGTATTTGCACGACACATGGCAAAGACTAATTGACCCAGTGAAAAGTAGGCACTGACTTCTAGTTGTCATAATCAAAGGGCACCTTCATTCCTGTTTTTACAGATTGGTTTCATATAGAATGCTTAAGCACTGTGTTTTGTTCTCTTGACACTGCTGCCAAGCATATTTTTATTGACAAGACCATCTTCTTTTAATATAGGCTTTTTTGAACAGTAAGCAGCTTGATGCCTGGTTGATTTGGTGTGAGTTGTGCAGTTTGAGCAAAATAGTTTGTTCACAAGAAGCATGCAACAGTTTTCTATCCTTTAGATGGTGGATGTTTAACTCTTTCTAATGCCCTTAGATTTGAGATTTACAGTTTAGGACTTCAAGCAGGATTCTTGTTCCGAACTGACAGCGCCAGAGTTTGTGAGAGTGTCATTCACTACCATTTTAAATTGAAGTATGACTCGCATTGACAGGTGAAAATCCAACTAAACATGCTTACATTGCAGACAGGAAGGCACATGTCCGTTTCCCAATGGATAGATTTGCATACATGAATGAGGCCATAGGGTCTTTTTCAAGAGTTTGAATTGGATTACCATTGCCTTCCATCAAATGCCAGTGTGGAGAAGTAGGACAAACATCAAAGGCATATACTTGCCCAGAATTGTGCCTCTTATTCTGTTTGTTTGCCTTTCAGATAAAAAAAAAGAGATGGGTTTGACTCTGGGTGCTTTCTGGTCCACTTCGAGGTCATGCTGAGAGGAGCAAACGGGTCTTAATGGGTGTGTTTGTTTGCTTGGTTTAGAGCTGCTCTCTCAGCATGTTCTGAGCCTGATACTCTCACAGAGATTTCCACTGTGCTATCTCAAACAAAGCCGGCGACTCTGAGGCTTGTCTCTTGTGGCTTTTCTTGAACTACGAAGGCTGTATTTGGTGGTTTTGGTCTTATTTTGAGGACTGGGGTTGATAGATCCCATTGTAGCATGGTGTAGATGTTACTTGGTTGCCTTTTGCTTCTCAAGGTTCCCCTGGAGATGAAGCTGTTGGACTACTGAGCATCTATTTACTGTTTTATATGGGATAAGGGACTCTATTCAAGAAAAAAAAAAAATCAGTTAAGGAAACAAACTTACCAAGACAGAAGATCATTTTACGCTAACCACTTCCTCGTGTAGAAATGTCTACATTCTCACGATGTGTACACACACACACCTCTCTCTGGTTTTACAGTGGGCACTCTGAAGGTTAATCACAAAACTAGTGTGTGCTGTAGAACCTTTACCCATTATGCCCTGCTGCTGTCAGACAAATAAGGAAAAGCGCCAATGGAAATCAAACCCAAATGTTGTCAATAACGCTACAGATTAAATATATATTTTTACTTATGGCATGTGACATAGGAGAGCATAAAATGAGATGCACAAACATGTCCTGTGCGGATACATTATGCAGATGAACATAACGGCGAAACCAAACCAAATGGCTGCAATGTGTAAGGTTAGAAAAATGAACGTTTCCTCTGGGGGTCGTAAAGCTTACTAAAATCCACTCGCAGAAAAAGAAGCCGCACTTGGACAAATTTCCACGTCGTTACTCTTCATAGAACATTCTGTGCTGAAGTGTTGGCACATGGTACACCTGCACTGTGGCACATTAGAAATGTCTTCAATTTCTTGTACAAGCCGATCTTTCACACCCATTGGATTATTGCCTGCTTCTTACTATAAAATTACGCATATGGAACAAGTCCCCAAAACTGGAAGGGGTATGAAATATCTAAATGAAATAGAGGCAACTGATTGTTTCAGATTCAATGCTCAAATCCTGTAGGAACTGCGGATAAACAGCAAACACATTCAAATAAACTTGTAACTGTTATTGATTTTCATAACACAAGTGAATATTCAAGCAACATATTTTTTTTTGTCAGTGCATTCCAGGAAGCAGAAGCTCCTGATCCTACAACTATTTGCTTTTTATTAAGGAAATATTAGTGTTTAAATATTGTAGCAATGCCAATCTAAGATTTAAAAAACAAACTGTAATCCCAAAACATCAAAAGTAACTCCTAATAGATAGCACACTTAAAAATTGAGGTTTGATTGTGGACCAGGTTGAATTAATTGCACTAAACAAAGATTTTAATACAGCTTTGCACGTAACACAGATAAGGGCCAACACTGCTGCTCTTTCAGTCAGAGCTCTGTTTATCGTCGTCCTTTCAACAGGTTAAAACAGAAGAATAAAAGCATAGCTTGTTCTCATCTGCAGCACAAAGATAATTAGAAACACGTGGAGATGACTTCTGACTTTTTACAAACACACACACACACACACACATGGTTTCAGGACCTCAGGCTTCCTCTTTTTTAGTTCTCTGTCATTTTATCAGCCACAATATGCTTCGTGTCTTGGACACGTTTTCCAAAAATGACATTCTCGAAATCAAAGCCCGGATTGGCCCACATTTTTATTCGCATCTGCTGAAAACTTATTAACTTCACCCTAACTGCAGCCAATAACAATTCCTAAATGGAAGAAAGCGATTTAGAGATTTGAGAATAAAGTGAATGCAAAAAAAGGTCCCAGCAATCTCTTCAGTCTAAGGAGATCTTTACTCAGACTGACTGTCGAACATCTGCCAATGTATTTTTGGTAAGAGGCAGTATACTTGCATGCGCAGAGATGAAAACAGATATGCCTTTGGATGGCTTGATGAAGAAAGTTTGATGGAGTGTCTATCAATTGGAGCCATACGAAAGCAAACAGTGTTTTCAGTTCGTCTTTCCTGTTAGATTTTGAACATTCATATCTGTTTTTCAGACCCTCCAGGATTTTGCGTTTCGGTGATTACCGAATTTAACGCAAATGTCAAAAAGTATTTTAATTGCTGAAGATTTCCTGCATATTTTGGGCATGATGCTTGTCATGTGACAATGTCGCATTTAAAGCTTGTTTAAACTAGGCCTCATGAGTTATATCAATCACTATACCTCTATATGCAGTTTATATCTGTAAGTGTAGACTTCTCGCTCTCTTATATACTTGAGCACACAAGCGCGCACACACACACACACACACACACACACCCACCCACCCACCCATGCACGCACGCACGCACGCACGCACGCACGCACGCACGCACACATATATATATATATATATATATATATATATATATATATATATATATATATATATATATATATATATATATATATACACACACACACACACACACACACACACACATACAATATAAGCGTTCAAGCTCAGCATCATGTTCATAAACCTGTTCAAATAGCCTTTAAACAACACAGACAAATGGATGCCCTTCCAGCTGCAACCCAGTACAGGGAAACATCCATACACACTCATTCACACACATACAGTACGACCAATTTAGTTTATTCAATTCACCCATGGCACATGTCTTTGGACTGTAGGGGAAACCGGAGCAACGGGAGGAAATCCACATGAACAGGAGGAGAACATGCAAACTCCACACATAAATGCCAACCGACCCAGCTGGGACTTAAACCTGAGACCTTCTTGCTGAGAGGCGACAGTGCTAACCACTGAGCCAGCGTATTTCCCAATTTGTGTATATTTTTAGAGGAAGACTAAATAAATGCTGCGTTCTCTCATGACTCGCCTGTTCCCACACTTCTAGCAAGTTTTGAGAGGAAAAAGAGCTTGTGGGTGGCATTCAGGACCAAGGTCTGAGACTTCCAAACCACGTTCAATGAAAAGCTGCTTTCTCTAGGAAAGGACTGCATCTTTCTCCTGCTCCCCCCTTTTTTCTGAAGCTGTGGGCTCCAAACTCAATAAAAGTTCCCACATGCCCAGATCTCACTTCATAAATTTATTACATCATGCCCTATTGGTCGCCATTCTGCCAACATTCATTTCCCTCGGCACTTCTTGGGTCGGAGGTAACTTAGGGCACGTTTTCCAGTCTCCTATGACATCTTCGCCTTCTTCCTTGCTCTATTCCAATCTTGTTAACTCTGTCAATGTGTTCTTCTGATTCAACAATAGTGCCTCTAATGTAGACACTTTCCAGTTTTCTGATCACCCGCCTGCTGAAAATTGCCACAAATTGCAACCATGTTGAAAAATGTGGCTTGTATGTGACGCATTTATTATGCAGACTCGAGATAATAACAGAAAGCTGCTGTTTGTGTAGTCATCTTCCTCTCATGTTGTTCCAATAGTCGGAACTTCACAAACAACACCAGGGAAAATTCTCTACAGACGGTTTACCCTCGAAGCTTCTGATTCCAGCTGTAGCGTCTCCTGCATGCTAACAAAGTCAGTACGGTCCCTCATTTGTCTCGTTCTGTCGTTTACATGCTCATCTGTCATGTTGTTCTGCTTTTTTCCAACGTTTTCTCCCATTATGGAATTATTCTGAAGTGCGTTTACGAGTTTATTGGACTGGCTGCCTTCATCTTGGAAAAAAGTCTGACAGCCAGATGTGGAATCCTCAGAAATGTTTTTAAAAGGTCTCTCAAGAAAAAATAAAGCAGATAAATTAATAAACACTTCACATTGTTATAAGATGTCAGATTGAATATCATGGTTGTGTTTCAGGCCACGATATGTTTTACCAAGTCTAATCAAAGAATGAATTGGAGAGATGTCATTTTGAACAAACGCAGGGCAAAATAAATTTGATTCAGGAAAGCT